TGTCTAACCTGAACCTCTCATAGGTACATTCTCCACCAGGGAACTTCTGCCTGGAAAAGAAGCCAAAGCCTCCCTTTGAATATCCCCCCTTCACTGCAGCCTTTCACAGGACCCACTGCCAGAACCCCCACCAGGGCTGGCATTCGCCCGGTGAGCCCCGGTGGAGCCCCGGTGCAGCCCCGGCTGTTGTTAAAATGCTGATGCGTTTCTGGGCTCACTGCCCTGACCGCACCCTGTGTAACTCAACAACTAAGAAAACCACTGCAGCCCAACAGGGAGGCCTCCAGACCCTGCTACAACACAAAAGCCTACTCCCTTCTGATTTTTAGCACCACACCTACTTTAAATAATTCATTACTAATAGAAGATGTGTAATTGCAAAGCAATAGATCAAAGTGGATAAGAACAGGTAGAACACAATACTGAGGTAGAACAAAAAAACAAAAAAAAGCTTATTTTTTTAATTAGCTACCTTATTCCTGAAGCTTGCTTCCACTTCTGTTTTATGCGGATAATCCAATCCACCCTCAAAAGATAAAACTTGGCTATCTGTAAGGGTTCACAGGAGAATATGATGCCAAGACCAATGACTTTCTTAAATAACAGTGCCCAAAAACTATTTCAAGTAATGATAGCATTGGTAGAAGAAGTGTGTAGGCTCATAAGGTGGAAAGTTTTCCCCTACGTGTGTAATAATTGGGGGAAATTTTAATACTACTGATAATAGAGAATTTTAAGAAATTATTACTAATTTTTAGATGTGGTAATGATTCTAAATAGTGGTCTTCAAAGGACCTATTTTTAAAGATACTGAAATATTTACAGATGAAACCCACAATAGAAGGGACTTGTTTCAAAATAACCTAAAGAGAAGCAGGCAGGAGAGGAGGACATGGGACTCATTATACCATTCATCACCCTTTCCTTTATGTTTGAAAGTGCAAAATTGTTTCCCATCAATATGTACCTCAGAGCCTCCTCTGGCAGATGGGAGAAATAAGAGAGGGCCAAGCCCCCTGTGTTAGGGCACGAGGACCTGGAAGGATTTATGGTCATGGTCCAGTCTCTCACCACATTGCTGGGGATAGTCCCTTAATTTTCCTGCCCACCAGTTTCCTGTCTGTGAGATGTTCATAATGACCACCTCCCCCATAACACACACACACACACTCACACACACACACACGCATCACACCTTCCCAAACAGGCCAGATGGAGTCTAAACAAGACAGTATTTGTGTAACATTTCAAGCTCCTCAGGAGAGAGGGGCAGCTTCACTGCCATGATTAGAAAGCTTCAGCACGCAGGTGTTGTGCGAAGTTTAGTTTAGATAATTCAGGTTTCCCAGAATCCGGCAGATTTTTCAGAAGCTACCTCATGCACAGTTCTCCAAGCCAAGTGGAAAAAAAAAAAAAAGGAGCAGAAACAAAACACCCTGCTTCCACACAGGAGGCTTTTAGCAGCGCTGTTTACTCCTCACACAAAGCCCTTGTTTATGTGTGACAGATGGTAGAGCGCGTTTCTCTCCTCTCTCCCTCCCTCCCTCACTCCCTTCATTTGCTCCCTTCTGTTTCTTTGTCCATCTCCAATATTTCCTTTTCTCCCCTCCTCTGCTTCATACCACTTTTCCCGAATTGATTCAAGAACCCAGCAGAAAGGACAAAATGCCAAGACCTGGGAAAATGGCTCTACCTGAGCCGACTGACGGATTGTTCCTTCAGGCTGCCTCACGCAGGCTCTTCTTAGTTCCATATTTGAATAGTATTTTTGAAGACAGAGTGACACACCTTTGGAACTGCAGGGGCTAGAAAAACATTAAAAGACCCATAAATATTTATGGAGCAGGTCTCCATGGGTTGCCTTCTCCAGAGTAATCATGGTCTGTACACACACACACAAACACAAGCACACATGCATGTGCACAAACATGCTCTTCCCAGGCCTGGCTACTCCCTAAAAACACCTAAGCACTTACTGAATATTTACTGCAATAAGCATGTTTATAAGACAGGTTGGGGAAGAGAAATGTGAAAGATTACATATGAAAAAGGCCTTACCCATAGGGAAGGACAGTTCTATCCCTGTAGGAGCCTGGGCATGTCACTTCATGTTGGCCAGTCTGTTTCTTCTGTTAAGTGAAGACATTAAAATACATAGATGACTTATATGATCCTTTCCACTCAAGCGTCTATGATTCTATGAGCAATCACACCAACGTTTTTAGAGAATTCCCAGTGGAATTCCCACTCCAGGTGGGGGCAAGGGAAAGGCCTTTTAGAAATAGGTGTGAATGGATAATTATGAATGTAATGCATTCCATTATTGTCATGTATGTAAGAAATAAATTTTAAAAAAAGAAAAAAAGAAATAGGTGTCTACCAGTGATGGAGTTCTGTAGTGCCTGTGTAGTGGCAGAAGAAGGAAATTAGGGGAAAGGGGTAAATTGTAGTCAGTTCGAAAGGAAAATGACCCATCTATAAATAGGGTCAGAGTAAGGGATCAGAAAGAAAAGAAATGGCATAATAGATACCAAGCAGGAGTAGGCGGTAAGATTTGGCACCTGCCTAGATATCTAGAAATAAAGATAGCAAAAGAGCAAAATCAGGTAAAACAAGGTATGTGCCTGCTGGTTCCACTTGGTCACTTAAAATTCATTTCAGATCCCAGACATGCTTCAAACAGGCATTCTCCAAGAACTGGCCCATTGGCCCTTTTGAATAAGCTTTAATGTGATGCCTTGTTCTTCACAAGAATAATAACTACCTCCCATGTCCACCCCCCACCAGACAAGAAAGAGTAAAAACCCATGCTCAAAAAGATGAAGTTGCTATTTGAGCAGTAATAGCTACATCTGCAAATGATTAACTCTAGGATTTATTACCAATTAGGACTATAAATCTCTGCTTACTTTGGCTCCTGGAAAGTTTATTTCACTGGGGGGGCACTGGGGAGGAGGAAGGGGAAATGTCATTTGAGACAAGGAGGGAGAAATCCAAGCTTAAAAAGACATACTTTGGATGCAAAAGGGAGCAAGATTTCTCAAGCCCAGAACAGGAAAGCAGGATTAACTTGTGGTTCTGTACAAACAACCAAGCAGATACCACAAAGGAGCAAGGGTTAGTAAAGTCAAAGGAGCCAGTGCCACTTAGAAGAGGGTGTTGAGGGTCTGAAAGAGGTTGCATGACTGGTGGACCCAAGTGGCAGGGCCCTGCTAGTGGGCAGTAGAGAATATGCATCAGGCAATTTGTCCCAGGGGTTCTCAACCTGGTCAATGAAATAACCTGTGAAGCTTTTAAAAATCTTAACTATGAGGGCTGTAGCTCAGTGGCAGAGCACTCGTCTAGCATGTGTGAGGCACTGTGTTCAATCCTTAGCACCATATAAAAATGAAACAAATAAAATAAAGATATTGTGTCCATCTACAACTACAAAAAATATTAAAAAAAAAACATTTAACTAGAGCCAGGTACAGTGCTGCATGCTTATAATCTCAGCAACTCGGGAAACTGAGGCAGGAGGATTGCAAGTTCAATGCAGGTTGGCAATTTAACAAGACCCTGTCTGTCTCAAAATAAGAAATAAAAGGGCTGTGGATATAGCTCAGTAGTAAAGCACCCCTGGATTCAATCCCAGTACCAAGAAAAAAAAAACTACATTGGGGTCATACCAAAAACCAATTAAATCCAAATTCCAAGGATGGGGCTTGGGTATCAGAGTTGTTCAAAAACTCCCCCAAGTGACTCTCCAGCGCAAGCAGGGTTGAGGCTTATCACTTAACTCATTTCATCCTCAAGCAGTCCCCCTTTATATAGTTGCTTTGACACTCGTGGTTTTACAGAACAGAAACCTGAAAGGTTGAGTAACAGCCCAGGGTTGCACAGTTAGCAGTGACAGAGGCAGGATACTGAACATGGAGCCCACACTCTCATTCCTCCTGCCCTATGGCTGCCACCACTCTGGTTCTCATGGGCCTTTCAAAGTGGAAGATGGGGGCTCTCAAACTATATTATCATATGACTCCAAAAAGATCATAGAAATGAAGCATGAGCCCATAAGGGAGGTGAATTTCGTTTGGATGGAATCCACACAGAGAAGTTGCACTGGGCATTTCATGCTCATCAGGAATTCTCATTCATTCATTTAGCAAACATTGAGTGCCAGTTTTCTGCAGCCTATAAAACAGAACCACCCTGTGCTGATAATCACACAACAGATGTTCTAAGGGCCACAGAAGTGCTGTGCACTAGACACTCTGAGAGCCCAGAGAAGAAAGTGGGCAACTTGGAGGGCAGCAATGTATTATGCTATTGGCAAGTTGACAAATGGTAAGATACGAAATAAAATGATTCATACATGTTGCTAAGCCATGAAACAAGAGACAGAGTCCATAAGTGAAGGCAAGGGATAATAACATGTTACGAGAAGGTTGGGAATATACTGTTGCTGATCCATAAATATTTAACCCAGGCCAGAAAATGCAAATTCCTGGCTAGCAGTTATATGACAATAATGAACGGGATGTCAGCAGGGGAAGTGGGTCTGTATCCTGTCTAAAAGGTAGCTAGTTCTCACCTCTAGCCAAAAATTGCCACATAGGAATGCGGGTGCAATGTTGTCAGATTTTTTGACCTTAGGGAAGCTGTATTATGCTTACAGCAAGATCACCCCGCAACCCCTTCCCCTACTAGGGAATGACCAGGGGCACTCTACCACTGAGCTACATTTCCAGCCCTTTTTATTTCAAGACAGGGTCTTTCTAAATTGGCCTTGAACTTGGCGATCTTCTTGCCTCAGTCTCCTGAATCGCTGGGATTACAGGCATGCGCCACCACACCCTATCAAGATCTCCTAATTTTTAAATAGCATCTAATTCTAGACACTCCACAGATCCAAGAATACATATGGCTTCCTGCTCTGGTTTCAACGAGGGTGATTCCCCTGCTAGTGTCCTGGATCCCCAAGCAACTTCTTATTCATTCGCCTGTGCCTTCCTCTGCAGGTGTGCTCATCTACTTTGGATACGGCATCTGGAACAGCACCCTGGAAATCAGCGCCCGCGAGGAGGCCCTGCATCAAAGCACGTACCAGCGCTACGACGTGGATGAGCCCTTCTCGGTGGAGGACGGTTTCTCCTATGCCACTGAGGGCGAGAGCCAGGAGGACTGGGGCGGGCCGGCGGAAGACAAAGGCTTCTATTACCAACAGATGTCAGATGCGAAGACAAACAGCCGGACGAGTAGCAAAGCAAAGAGCAAAAGCAAACACAAACAGAACTCGGAGGCCCTGATTGCAAATGATGAGTTAGATTACTCTCCAGAGTAAGAGTAAACACAAGAGGGTAGAGATGATGATGGTGATTGATCTTCAGTAATTTAACCTGTGGGCTAGAAGGCGAAAACTTTTTTGATTCTCATTTCACAAATCCAGCCTGCTCTCGGAGTCAATCCCCAGTCATAGCCTGTCATTTGCTATTTTTGCTCTTCAGGATAGATCTGTCAAAGTGTTTAACCCAGGGTTCCTAACTGGTCCCCTTGTAAACAACACTAAACAAAAGGCTACACAAAATTCCATCTTAGGTACAACCATGATCTGTTGGCTGCAAATATTTCTCAGGCCTTTGCTTTGCTGGTTGAATCGTTTTTGCTTCTTTTTTGAGATTCCCAAGAAGCAAGGGGAAAACTTCTTGGACCCCATAAAGACTGTGCAACTCCTTTGGAGATGCACGGAAGCAGGCCATATGGGCACAAGGCAGCATTTCAACCACCGGAGACCACCAGGGCAAAGCTCTGTTCTCAGCCTGTAGGGCTGACAGCTGCTCTCCAGGGTCACGGTGGGTAGGGGTCAGCTCTCCCTCGATAAGCAACATTTGGTCCTGAAATCTCACCCAAAAAAATTTTCCATGAAGAAGACACAAACTTCTTTTTATTTAATTTCCACACTATAATTTTAGAACCCAGCAAGGGTCAAGGACTCTTGAGATCTTTCCTCCAAAGATTTTAGATTCACTGTAAAGCATCATGCAGACCCAATAATATAGTAAGAAGCACCATCAAAGCTCTACTTACAGGCCCAGAGAAAATGAAATAGCCTTCTCTTGAAGTGAAGGCCAGAAACGCATTGGCAGAAATGAACTGTCTGTCATACCTTCCCTAAGCTCCTGCTGACATGAAAGGGGGCAAAGGTGGAACATGATTTCATAGCATTAATATGCCTTGAAGAAGTAGCCCGTTTGTTTTAGAATCAGATAAAAATCCTTGCAAAGATAAGTGACCCAGCCACTGAGATCACATTGCAAGTTCTATTTCATATTTCCAAAATTATAAATTATGTAGTTTTTTGAGACATACAACCACTTGATTAGTGAAGGCCACTCTGGAAACAAAGAAATGTGGAAGCACATCCACTTAGGTAATTGCATTCCATGAGATCACATTGCACTTCAGAACCTTATTTCTCTGGGGTAACCCACTTTTATTTTCCCTATTATTTCCCAAAGCAGTTTCATCAAAGTCCAGCAAAATATCTACCAGAATAGATGTGAATTGGGGCCACAGAGGGTTTCTTAAAAGAATTATCTCAGAAATAGGATAGATGAGAGAATTTGCAACAAGGAAAACAACAACAACAACAAAGGCTGTAAATTCTACTCTAACCCTGCAAGGATTCCAATGGCAGAGTTGAGACGTATAATGTTAAAATCTTCATGAGAATTTTCTGAAAGGGGGGAAAAAATCTTTGCCCTCTGTCTCCTCAATTTATCATCTTGCCAAAAGTTTACCAAAACACATCAACTAACATTTAAGTCTTTTTTTTTTTTAATATATAACCAGCAATTGAACCCAGGGGCAAGGGAGCTCAACCAATGAACTGCATGCCCAGCCCTTTTTATTTATTATCTTTTTATTTTTTAATTTTGAGACAGGGTCTCACTAAGTTGTTGAGGCTGGCTTCGAACTTGTAATCCCCCTGCCTCAACCTTCCAAGCTGTTGGGAGTACATGCATACACCACTGCACCCAGCAAATCTATTGAAATTTGAGGCTCATGACTTTTTGGCAATACTTTAGGGTTGTAGAAAGAAGGCCAAAGTCCAATTTTTTTCTTCAATCAACTAACAGTGATTGATAATATACCAAGTGCTAGCCATGGGCATGACAATTACAACAGCTGCCCTTGAAAGATTACAATCCAGGGAGGAGCAGCTCTGGAGCCTGACAAATGTAGATGAAACAAACAAACATAAGTCTTCATGACTGGTGAACTGGGCTTTAACATAACCAAGATCAATTGAAACCAGGTTTTTTAAAAATATGCCTTTAGATAAATTGCATTTCATTTCCCTAGCCAAAGTATACCATTAAATTCAAACACAACAATCTGTTAGATCTTCTTTTTTTATTTCTCCATATTAATTGTTTAGAATGCCAGCTGTCTCTGTTCATTTTGTATTTTAATGTAGACTTGACAGTGCTGTTTTCTCCTCCCTAAGCTGAACCATAAAGAGAGGATCTGGTTTGTGACAATATATCCTTGGGGATTTACTGTAAACTAACTATCGGGTAGTCTTCATGAAAACAAAGTTTTAAATCAGTTTTACAGATCAAGGAATCTTCTCAGTTTAAATAGAATCTGTTAAGCTTGATATATATCTAGATAATCATCAAATACACTCAAGAGAAATATGAATGCAAAATAACCAAAATAACCAATTTACCCATGTGAGGATGTGGGTAAATAATTTCATTTTACTGGTGACATTTAGGTATTAAAGTAGCATTAGCCAGATGACAAGTATATGAAATTTCTGTAGCACAAGAAGAGAAAACACAAGCTTTAATTAACACGATTGGTCTTGGTTTTGTACAGATCCTAGGAGCCACTCACATTTCAGAAGCCATTTTTCCAAAACAGTATCTTTATGTATTTTAAGCCTTGCTCTCCTTTTTTAAAAAGGTGATAGGAAACCTTCTTGTAGCTACAAGCATCCTAATGGATGCAAGGATATTAGAAGGGTTCTCAGAATGACTACCTGGGAAGATCCCTAGGTTGATGGCAAAAAAATTTTGTATCCTGGTAACCTTGGCTCAAAAATAAAAATTAAAATGGTAGGGAAAGTTTTCAAGGCATGTAGGCGTGTTTTTCTCATGTTTCCCAGCTTGGGAAATGGTCCCAGATTTCACAATGCAATTGTCATATACCATCAACCACTAGAATTAATATATCAGGGTTTTCTAATCAGATTTCTGAACACCATGTTTGTGGGACACATTAGAAGTAAGATCATATAATAATTAACTTAGAAACTCATTTCCCTTGAAAAAGGTTCATGGAAGATCTACATTTTATTGAATTTTTCTCTACAGCAAGAGTTCTTCCAGTGAAGTTTCAGTGTGTGGATTTGTGGTTTGGAGCTAGTTACTTGATTTTTAAAAGTTCTTTATTTGTTTATTGGTACTGTGTTGTTTCTAAAGGGTGTGAGGCTGCTATTAAAATACACAAAAGTGAGCAACTCAATAAATATAGAAACAGAAGGCTATGGCAAAGTATTGAAATAACAAGACTTGAATGTCACAGATCGTAGATACTCTTTAAACCTGGATTTCACTAAGTATGTGCCTGGTGTATAGTAGGTATTCAATAAATGTCTGATGGATGGATGGATGAGCAAACTGAAGGAAAACAAAATTTTATTCAGCAATTATTCATAGAGTCCCTATGACATGGCATATGTTGATACAATAATCAGTAAGATAGAAATCCAGACCTTAAGAAATAGGGGACTGGGATATACAAGTAAAGAACCACAGTGAATGTGACCAGATGAGATGAAGATGAGAATATGCTGTGGGGGTTCGAATATGGAAAAGAACTCCTTCCATTGGAAAGATCATAAAGAAGGCAGCCCTGTGTTGAGCCTGTGGAGTGAGCAGAATCTTGCCAGGTAGAAATGGGAGGAAGGCCTGCCAAGCAGGGGGTGAGTAAAACATAGACTGTGGCTGATGGCTGTCCTCTGACTAATAATTTGTACTGTGCCTCCTTCAAGGGAAAGCAAGGAGCTAGTCTGACTGGAGCTTACAATTTTTGCATGATTTAAACATGGAACAATACAAAATGATGCTGGGAAGGCAGATTAAAATACTAACACAGCAAGCTCACAATCTAAAGTTATTTACAGCTACTTTAAAGTTTTCAATAATAAATTTCAACAACAAATCTAACAATTTTTATGTTTATCTAAACACTAAAACTTCAGCTCCTGGTTTTATTCAATTTGAAGCCACTCTGAAATAGAGAAGAAGCTGAATAATAGAATTAGGTGAAGAATCCAGTTCTACTTCTTAGTGAAAAATAACTAGTAAAATACCTATATGGTGGTCATGATGAACCTGTTTAAATAAATGGGGGGAAAGTGGGTGAATTTAATAATTCATCCTTCTCTAGAACCTATGGATCAGTCAGGATACAAACCCAGGAATTATTAGGAAACAAAACTCAAAGAAATGTCTTTACTCTCTACTGCTGAAAAGGTTGACAAACTTATCCTTTAAGTCATGCTTGTTGGAAGCCTGCTTTCAAGAGACTACCTCTTCTCTGCATCATAAATAGAAGCTACAGGAGATTGAGAGTCCACAGACAGGGCTACAAGAAATTGCTGTCCCCTTTACCACCAGGTTTTACCAGGGACCTGAGATGTCAGTAGAAAATCCCCTGCAAGTCAATCACAGGTTGGCCTAATTTTGAATCTCAGATTACACTGTTTTGTTGTGTGAAGACAGATAGGAAACTATCTGAAGCCAGAGCTGGGATCTGCTCATGTGGAGTTCTGGTGGCAGTGAGTGGTCGGTCCACTCTTGGATTGAAACCTCAGATTAGTGAGCTATCCAGAGATGGCTTTAATTTCCTATGGAACAGAGAGAGGAAGGAGAGCAAGGAAACTCACCCCAAATCTGGCCATTCAGGCTGTGTCTCAGTGTTCCATTTTCATGCCCTTTGCAACAAGATTTGTTCAGATAAGTGTTTCCATTACAATTTTCGTGGACCCTCTGCTTCCCCATTCACACATACCCCTCTGATGCTGTAGATCCATTTGTCTACAGAGTTCCTTTGGAGACCCTAATAAAGATACCCCAGCAGGGAACCAGTGGTGGCCTGGCCATGAACAAGCCAATATCTGTAATTAAACAATCTGCAAGCACAGAAACAGCATCCCAGGCCATGAGCAAGAGCCGGAATGTTGTTCATGAGGTGTTTCCTTTGCATTTCTCCATTCAATAGTGATGGGTAGCAAAAAGCCCCTTTTGTGCAAATAATAATTAGTTCTGTGTCCTACTTTGATTTTCTCTAAGACTTTTGAGAGGAGGCTATTTAGATTTTTATTTTCCTCCTCAAGAGCAGCTTCCTTTCTAAAATGCTTTTCTCTCACGTGCTGGAGGAGCGTGTGCATCATTCTGAAATACCCAGGCAGTTGCCTTTTGCCAAAATTAATTCTCTAAGAAAAATAGAATGGTATTTTTGTTTTTCTTTTTAGGATTTAAAGCCTGAAAGGGATCAGTGGAATTTTGAAAGCCCATCAAAAGTGAACATGTATTCTGTAGTATCAACTAAAATAGTATTATAAGTCACTAACCAGTACACTACATGCATGGAATTCCACAACCCATACAGAACTTTCCCAGAATCAGCTTGGGCCTGACAGCAGGTAGCTCTGCTTTCTTAACTCTTTGAGACATGCAGTGCATGTCCGTGGCATATGAGGAAAGAAAATGGCTCTTTATTACTAATAGGAAACAAGGGCAGCCTGGATTTTCATGCTAGGGACTTCCTCTGTGCTTAGTTATTTATTTATTTATTTATTTCTATTATGCTTTCTTGACATTGACATGGGTGACATTGTCTAAAGGAAATTGTGGGTCATGTGAATTTTTCCCAACGTTACAGACTTTGAAGGATTGTGTTCATTCCAATATTGGGATGGGGAAACTGTTTGTTCCATGCACACCTATTGCTTGGTCTTGGCAGTTGCTGATACACTTGTCTCACTCACGGTCCCAAAGTTGAGAATTTACACTGGAAACCATGAACCCTCACTTTCCCAAGCAGAGACACTGTTAATGTTACGATGGCGCATAAATACCTCAACTGTCTGGGCTGAGAGAAGGGGCTGCAGGTTTATAAGAGAGCAGCTACAGTCCTCATTCCGTGTGGTTCCAACCATCTGACAACAGGACTTGACATTCTAGTCTCTCTCACTGTGGTAAAGAAATGTTACTGTTTAATTCATATCCAAAGTCATAAATACAGCTTGTAAATTCTACTAACTTGTTTCATTTTTTGTTTGGTCCTTGAGAAATTCAACTTGCATTTTGCAGATGGTGATTTCTGGTGTCGTTTTCTGCTACTTTTTTTTTCCTGTATAGAATTGCTGTACTTGTTAAAGTTTGTTTGTTGTGTGGTTTTTAATTCCCATTGGTGCACTGTACAATGGGGTGTTGTAACGTACCATGAAGAAAGAAATAATATGCAGATGTATTATGGAGTGTATTTTATTTTTAAATGACTGTGATGTTGACAATATATTGATTTGTCAAAATTCTAAGGGAAAATTCTAAATTTACCAAAATGTGTATATTTTAATAAATGCATAAAGCTTTTTGGTGTGCCTTTAAATTTAAAAATGAGTTTATAAAGAAAATTGGAAACAAAAGTGTCTTACTTTAAAAATATCCATAGTAATGGAAAGCTCTTACATAGGAGACAATGAGAGAAAGAAAGAGGGAAAAAAATCAAAGAAGCTTCCCATATTATACTAACCTTAACAAGTATCTGAAGTCTGTTACTTTTTTTTACATCCTAAAATGGAGATGAATGAGTGAGTTTTGCCTTAAGTGTTTTAATTTTCCTTGTAGAAGAGACAGATAAATATCTCATTTTGAAACTTATTGCATTATTGTGGAAAATTCATTTTCAGAATAAAAATATTTTAAAAATGACAGCTGATCGACTAATAAAATTTAAACTTGAAGAAAGTCAGTACCATCCAACCTTTTTAAATTTACTTGACTTTTGAAAGAAGAGCAGAGAAGTTCCACATTAGTGAACTTGGGATAACCCAAAGTGAAGTTCAATCTCCCTCTAATAAAGATACAAGGTCTATATCTGGACCCTGCTCACTATACTGCCTCCTTGATTACGCCATCCCCAGTACCAGCTGCTACTCAAGCCATAGCAGCTCACTACCCTCAGCATGGTTAATACAGAACATTCCATCGCTGTTCCTATTCATTTTAAAGCCAAGTTTTTTAAAAAATATATTATCTGCCTTCAGCCCCAAACCCAATTACCATAGCATAATGGTGGCTTAATTTATTTTTCTTTTTGATTGTACAGGTTGACACCTGAAGAAAAGGTAGAGGATGTAACAGACTCACATAATTTCCACAAAACATGAAATGCAAAGAACCTACAACTTTTTCATTTCCTACAACTCATTGATCTCCCTTGCACAGTTCCACCTTCCTGGGTAGCAGAGGAAAAAAAACATATGTTAAATGTGTTAATTTACAGAATCACAGTTACCTTCCAGCTTAGTGTCTTTTAGATGGGTGAATCTCTTTGGGATAAATGCTCAATCTTTTGGATCTCCTCCTACCACTCTCTACCCAACACCTTGCTTCTCTCTAAAATGGCATCTGGGAACAGAGCTTATATGATCTCCTAAGGAGGAGGAGATTGGGGTTGCAGATGAGAAATAGGATGCTCTGGACCTTAAATGGAGGTTGCTGCACAGTGTCTACCTGGACTCTTCCTGGACAGGTGATCACCGGTCCATCCAGTCATGTAGACTTCATGAGGATGTTTATTTTCAAAGTCCACTAGTCCGGCATTGAATTCAATCAATCGTGAAGTTCTTGCACATTGATGCCTCTTTGTTCAGACTCCAGACTTTGCTGGTCCACTTTAGGATCCATTGCAATATTGCCTTGAGACTTGAGGAAGGAACCAGGAGCAGCACCTCAGGCCATTTCCTCCATCAGTAAACACTATCATCTCTGGGCTCTGTCCATGCAGGCTTAGAGCCAGTGGTGTGCTGCAATCTGATCATGAGAATGATGGCTAATTTTTCATGACTTTTCAGTTGCTAAACACAACCATTATTAAAACTTAAAATTAAATATTCAAAAAAGGTAATAAATACTCAAAGCTAATTATTTTCATTACATTTTACTATTTATGTTCTTGAAGTTAATTACAACTGCTTTGTCTGGGGAAAGGGATGCTCCCTAATGATGAGCTGTTGCACATCTCTCCCCAGTTGCATTGTGGAGAGTTCACCTTGGTAACTTGAAATTGGCCATGGTGGGATTAGACCATGGAAACTGGCACACGATACAAAAGTGAGAATTTGAGTTTCTACAAAGAGCTGGCTGCAAATATTTACCAGCACACTACAGCTTATATCCCTTTCAACCAAGTACGCCACTAACTCATTCACAGTTTTTAAATTTCCTCACTCCTGCCACACCTCTACCCATAGAGGAGGGAAAAGTCTGAATCAGTATTTTTCCCTCCCCTTCCTACCTCGATTTCCCTTCCCCAGATCACCATCCAGCAGGACCAGGAGGGGCTAGATTTCCATTCTTCCTTTTGTCTGACAAGGACTCTACACCTCATTCTTCTTCTTAGGGACAATAAGTCTCATGACTCATGGAAGAGTTGTCCATATTTTATCATGAAAGAAACCATAGAGTATCCAAGAGGAGTCACTGGCCAACCTGGCACTACTATGTTATCAATATAAAAAATAATTATTTAATATTTCAAAATATAACTTCATTACATGGATCTTGCAATTCAAAGTTTACTGAAAACAAGTGTTAGAATGTGGAGAACTGGAACCCTTTTACATTGATGGGAATGTAAAATAGTACAGCTGCGATGGAAAACAATATAGTTCCTCAAAAAATTCAAAATATAATTACCATATGATCTAGCAATTCTTCTATTTTATATCAGATGATCCTTTATTAAAATATTCTCCCATGTATTTCTTAACTCTGTGGGAAAGAAATTCTCCCATGTACTTCTTAACTAGTTGGGCACTCCACTGCACCATTAATGATGTCATCTATGATGTCATGAGGATGGTGGCCATCAACACTACAACCCACAGACTGGGCAGTCCCCAGAATCTCCTTAATCATTCCAGAAAGTTCTCTAGCTAAAGATTGGTGACACATCTGTCAGGAAATGTTGACAATTTCATCGAAAGCGATATTGCCACTGTGTTTAATGTTTTCTGTTTCTTGGTGGCTCCTTGAGGGCTTTTATGATCGGGGCAGAAGCAGAAGGTATCACTTCAATCTGGGCCTGTCTGTTCTGAATAGTCAGTTTCACTGTAATCCTCAGACACTTCCAATCACTAGTTGCTTTGGCAATGTCATCACCAACCTTCTTGGGAGCCAGACCCAGGGGGCCAATCTTGGGGGCCAGAGAGACATGGCACCAACCTCACCAACAGTGCACCTCAGGTACGTGACTTTGATTTCATTGGGATCAAACTTGGGTGGCATGGTAGAGATGGCTGGTGTCAAATGAAGCCAGATTCAGGATGACCAAAGAGACTTGCACCTTGACCTCCTCCAAGCAAATCTTTACATGTATCCAAAAGAACTGAAAACAGGATCTCAAAGAGACATTTGTATACCCAGCTTGTAGCAGCATTATTCACATTAGCCAAAATATGGATGCTACTACACAAGTGGTAAAATTCATACAATTGAAAAGGAAAGAAATCCTGACACGGGCTATGACATGATGAACTTTGACGACATTGTGCTAACTGGATAAGCCAGTCCCCAAAAAAAGAAAAATACTGTATGGTTCCATTTACATAAGGTACTTTGACTAGTCAAAATCTAGACACAGAAACTAGAATGTGGTTGCCAGTGGGAATGAGGAGTTATTATTTAGGAGATACAGAGTTTCCATTTTGCAAGATGAAGAGTTCAGGAGATGACGGTGATGACAATCACAAAACAATGGAAATATACTTAGTGCCACTGAACTTTACCCTTAAAAATAGTTAACATGCATATTTTACATTATGTGTATTTCATCACAGTTGTTTCAAGTTGGGGAAGGTTAAAAGTTTATTCAGAGTATCAAAGCTGGTTTAGAGGCATCTTCTCCTGAGGTTATAATTCAAAACTCTTTTAAAAATTAAATATTCTAATAGAAATTTAAGGGGTCCTCATAATTCAAACATTATTACATTAACAGAGCTTCCACATTTGATTTCCAGCTGTCAATAGCCCACTGGCTGGCTATTATTCTCTGTTCACTTCCTCTCCTTTGTCCACACACACTGTGTCCCCTACCAGTGGGTAGGTTCATCCATTCTCAACTTCGTCTCAATCAAATCCAGGACATCAGAATGCTTCGCTGTGTGGCTCAGAGAAAGAAATCACATACCCCCATTTCTAAAACCTAGAAATTCCAATTCTCTAAGCTTTTATTACATGGATGATCAAGCCTGGTGTTTACCCATCGGTGCCATTTAGAGTGTTTTCAGGAAAGATCGAGCCTTCTGTTAGTCAATTAACTCGATGAGATAAGTACCATGGCAGGCTTTCTTTCATAGAAGGGAAATACAAATGATTTGTGACTCTAATTAACTTCAAACACAGAAACAGGAATGCAATTTGGAACCGAATCCAAAGAGGAAACAGTCCATCCAAATTCAGTTCTGGTGGCTGGGCGACCATGATTGAATTTCCTTCCGAGCAGAGACCCTCCTCATTGGGAGGGGTGGGGAAAAGGAAAGGGGCTTCCTGGCAATGGGGTTCCCTGTTCCATAAAGCTCCAAAGCGGCCTCTAGAAAAGACTGGGATTAAGTTTGTTCAAGGTTTGATACAATGTCCTTGACTTTCTCTCCCAGCTTTGTCTGTCTTGTACAAGAAGATGGAAACTGGGCTAAGCAAACTTGGTGGAAAGGGCAGAGAAGCAGAAGCAGATTTTTTGTTTGTTTGTTTGTTTCTATTTTTGTTTGTTTGGTACCAGGGATTGAACCCAGGGACACTTAACTCCTGAGACACATCTCCAGCCCTTTTTAATTTTTCTTTTGAAACAGGGTCTCGTTAAGTTTCTTAAGGGCCTCGCTAAGTTGCTGAGACTGGCTTTGAACTTGCAATACTCCTACCTCAGCCTCCTGAGTCACTGGGATTACAGGTGTGCCCCATTGCACCCAGCTAGAAGCAGATTTGTTGTTGTTGTTATTAATTTTTTAGTTGTAGATGGACACAATACCTTTATTTTGTTTATTTTTATGGTGTACTAAGGATCAAACCCAGGGCCTCACACAGGCCAGGCAAGTGCTCTACCACTAAGCCACAACCCCAGCCCTAGAAGCAGATGTTTTGCCAAGGATCCTTCCATAGCAAGCTGGGAACTTTGAAGCCCAGCAAAGAAAAGCACCTCTGCCCTATCTGTTGCCTGATGCTTAGAATTCTCCCACTGGAAACAAAGTCTGGTGTTTCTCAATAAGAAGGGAATCTTTAAATACCTTCACTGCTAACTCCCCCCAGAAGAAGGAACACAGTGTCTTAACTTGTCCACCATGAAATATAAATGACTGATACCATAGGCTCCTTCATAGAAAGCAGATTTTCATAAATCATGAAAAACAAAAAAGATTATGAGGTCCCTGCATGCCTGGGAAGAGTTGGGGGGAACCCAAAGTGGGGAAAGGGCACAGAAGGGAGAGACCAGGGTACCAAAGACACACTTACAACCTTGCCCAGAGCTAAATGTAAATATGATAGGCTAGAGGACACCAAAAATCTACCCTGAAATGAAGCCTTGGGTACCACTGAGGGGAAAGATGTGCACAGAGCCCTGACTGTGAGTGGCTTGCACTCAGCTCTCCATCATTGGCTTCATAAGCATGGGCAAGCCACCTCCCCTCTTTCTTTATGTGTAAACAAGAAGTTGACCCAGTAAACAAGAAGTTGAC